GCACACACACACACACACACACACGCATACACACACACGCATACACACACACGCATACACACACGCACACACACACACACACACACACATACACACACACGCATACACACACACGCATACACACACACGCATACACACACGCACACACACACACACACACACACACACACACATACACACGCACACACACACCTACTTGCTTATCACGCGTGCACGCTTACACATCGATACGGGATAAATTATGCTAATAACACAACTCGTCTTTATACACAGTGCACACTGCCAATTGAATCCAGTCGAATTGAATCAGGACCAATCAGATTTTTCTCCTTGAAAGGCCATAGGCTACCGTTTTGACACAATTTAATAATGTTCACTAAATGCTAATATAGTTGGGTTACATTATTCATATTTTTTGGGGGGATTTGGTTAATTTGAACGAAAATGGAGGCGTTTGACCCACTACGATGAAAAAACCTGGGGCACTCCGACTTTTTCAGATGGATAAAATGTACCAAATGCGTAATGTACAGTGGGTACATCGAAAAAACATTGAACCATAAACATTCATAACATTGGTTCACAGACCCGAGATGATAACCAAGAGAGAAATCCTGATGGCATCGTACACAGCCATTCTTCCCAGACAGCAGGATATAGCAGGCTTGTGGATCAGTCAGCACTCCTTCTGTCTCTCTGTGGGTGTGTGTGTGCATGTGCGTGTGCGTGTGTCTCTCCCTCTCTCCCTCTCCCTCTCTCTCTCTCACTCACTCTGTGTGTGCCCCCTCTCTCTCTCGCTCTCTGTCGCTCTCTCTCTCTCTCTCTCTCTCTCTCTCTCTCTCTCTCTCTCTCTCTTTCTCTCGCTCTCTGTCTCTCTGTTTCTCCCTCTCTCTCCCTCTCTCTCTCTTTGTGTGTGCTCTGTCTCTCTGTCTGTCTGTCTCTGTCTGTCTGTCTGTCTCTCTGTCTCTCTCTCTCTCTCTCTCTCTCTCTCTCTCTCTCTCAATTGTAAACAGGAGCTGGAGCATGATGGCTTGTTTCTTTGTAGGACACAAAAAGTGTACATTTCAAACAGTTTTATTGTATTTCAAACAATAGCAACAAATTGTAATGTAGCAGGTGTGGGCTATTCTTGAAAAAGGAACTGTCCTTGTGAGTTCAAAGGACATTTAGCTCTTGTTTGTACTCTGCATTCCTGCTTTCTGGTTCTTGTGTGTGACTCGCGTGCATTGTTCATTTACACACCATTTCTTATTTCTGCACCTGTTGTTTTTTTTCAACACTTAAGTGTTATATATAAAGTTGGGGGGGGGGGG